TATGGAGGAATGGACACAGGGAAGAGGTTAACTATGGGAAGGAAGTGGGAGGGGAGCTGTTGCATTGTGGTAAACTGTGGTCAATGTCATGATACAAAGTGTATGTGAACTGCTGTATAGAAAGTGAATTTGCTCTGTAAATCTTCACCCAAATCACAATAAAAAATAAAATAATAATAATGATAATAATAATTCATAGAGATTGTCTGAAGATCAGCAAAAGTTCCTATTAACTTGTACCGATAAAACCAAGAAAAACCAAGGAAAAATAAAAGTCTCACCATCCTCACTTCTAAGGTTGTATTTTCTATGTATTCCTATTTCCCATAAATTGACACACTTAATTGCTTCCTCCTCTGTGCTCCAAGAGCATAGTTTACCCCTTGGAGAGCAAGGATCGTCATCATGGCATAGCTACCTTCATGGTGTGAATAACAAGAGTCCATTTAGCCTCAGGAGCCAGGCCACAGTCTGGCATCCAGTAAGTGTTCAATTCATATTTATTAAAGTATTTGTTTTACTTTGTTTCCTGATCTTTGTTACTTGTAGTTTATTTATCTGTGTATTATCTATATCTATATATAGAGATATAGATATATAGATATAATTAACACAACTGACACTATGTATATAATATCTATGCTATAAAACAGGAGCTCTGGTAGCATAGTGCCTAAGGCACTTGACTGTTCACCAGAAGGCTGGCGGTTCAAACCCACCAGCCACTCCTCGGAAGGAAGGTTGGGCAATCCGGGCAATCCTACTTCCGTAGTGATACTGCCTGGGAAACCCAAGGAGGGGTCGCTGAGTCGGGGCCGACTCGACGGCAAACAACAACAACAACAACAACAACATGCTATAAAACACTATTGCTGAATGTTCACGTAGCTCTATTTTAGAGCAGTGTGTTGGTCTTACACTTTTGGTTGCAGATTGAAACAATTAGCTGCAGCTGGAGAGAAAATTAAAAAGCTATCACCAAAACTATCTTCATCTAATATATCCTTCATAAAGGAAAAAATGTTGCATACTATGAAAGGAATCTTTTGCCCAATTGACTGTTTTGTTTGCATATTCACGTTTAGCAAAATCTTAACTCTTTGCTGCATTTGAATTTTTTTTCCCTTTTTTTGGATTGTTGGCATAGTGCCTAAGGCATTTGACTGCTAACCAGAAGGCTGGAGGTTCAAACTCACCAGCTACTCCTTGAAAGGAAGGTTGGACAATCTACTTCCATGGAGATACTGCCTCAGAAATCCAAGGAGGGGTTATTATGATTCTGATTCGACTTGATGGCAATGAGTTTGGGGTTTTTTTTTGAACTGTCTAACTATACAACAGGTGGTTGTGCTTAACTACCACCATTGTCCAAAAGAAATATAATGTAAGCCACAAACTTGAGCCACATATATAATTTAGAAATTTTAGTAGCCACATTAAAAAACGTAACAATAAAGAGGTAAAATTTATATTCATAATATATTCTATTTCACCCAAAATATTATTTCAACATGTGATCATTCAAATATATTAATGAGAAATTTTATATTCATTTTGAATAAAGTCTTCAAAATACAATATGTATTTTACATTACAGCAATCAGTTGGATCACAAGAGGGTAGTTGTTACTATTATAGGCTGTGCAATTCTACTTAGCTAACACTGCTTGAATATTTACTATGTGTTTTACCTGTGTTCTTTCAGTTAATCCCCACAGCAACTCTGCAGTTGACACTATTGGATTCATTTTACAAACAAGCACAGACTTACAGAAGTTAGGTTATTTGCTTGAAGTCCACTGTTGGGAGTGGTAAAGCTATGATTGGGCATAGAGATCTGACTTCAAATTAATGCACTGAAATAAAATGAAAGCCTTCCAGAGAGGCATTTTGGCAGATTTTGAAGCTTTTTTGAGAAGATGTTGAAGATTAGACACAGGGGTGGGGGCTAGTTAACAGCAGGTCACAAGGTTTCTAGAAACATGTTTCAAAGAAAGAAAAATTTTGAAGCAAAACCTGGGGGAAAGAGGCAGGATTAGTTTACTAGTTAAGAAAGACACTGTCACCCATATCCTTTGGAGTTCATTTATTCTCTGCCAATACGTTTGGCAACCATTAGATTGCCACATACTCAGAACAGAGTTACTTCTCTTTCTTCCATTTTAACCTTCCATCTGTTACATGACGTTTGGGTAAAAGTATATGCTATGGTGACTGGTATGAATTAAGGCGCCAGTCTTCTAACAACCTTCATGCCATGGCTTTGTTATAAAGGTCTGTAAAATATTATCCTGGTGTCATGGATTATACAAATGTGCACAAATGGCAGTTTCCTCCTTTTCCTTCACACAGTGTTAAAAATGAGTAAAATATGTTTCCCATTGCACTTTCCTTGTGCTTAGGGACTCAATGAACTCATTTTAAGTTTCCATGTCTTTATAAAAATGTTTTGTTTTTACTGAAATATGTTTTTGATCAAGAACATAATTTCATGATTACGTGTGTATTTCTGAAGCAAATATGTATATGGAACAAGTGCACAGAGGAGGGCTTGGGCTCTGGTGACTGATCCTAGGAACTGAGGGTGCTTGAGTTCGAACCTCAGCCTTATTACTAACTCATGATTAGATGGTATTAGGAGATGGAACCAGCTTCTACCTTGTTGCCACTTTCTAATAAATATTCTCTTCTCTTATTGTCTCTCATTTCTGGAATTGTACATAACCAAACTCATTGTCATGGAGTCAAGTCTGACTCAAAATGACACTATAGGAAAGAGTAAAACTGCCCCATAGGGTATCTGAGGCTGTAAATCTTTATGGACACAGACTGCACATCCTTCTCCCACAGAGTGGCCGGTAGGTTTAAACAGCTGACCTTTTTTTGTTACCACCCAAGCTCTCTGGTAGCATAGTGCCTAAGGCACTTGACTGCTAACCAGAAGGCTGGAGGTTCAAACCTACCAGACCCTCCTCAGAAGGAAGGCTGGGTAATCTACTTCCATGGTGATACCGCCTTGGAAACCCAAGAAGAGGTCGCTATGAGTTGGGTCGACTCGATGGCAAATACCAACAGCAACAAGCACTTTAACTACTATACTACCAAGGTTCACAACTTTGTACAATGGGAAATGCAGTTGGTTAGCTTCCATAATCATTATTTATTGAAGATTAACATATTGTTTGCAATTTGTTATATGGCAGAAATTCAGCTCCAAATCATGGGATATCATAAACTTCAGACAAGCTCTGCAGCAGCATTAACCTTTTTAAATGTAACTTTGAATGTGTGCCTCACATTTTCAGGAGAGAGCAAAATATTGAGATATATAGTATTGCTTACCCACCCGCATTCTGTACCCTAAACCTTGTAAGGCAGATAGAAAAAGGTATAATCCTTATAATACAGTTAATACCACTAATAATATTTTTTATTTAAAACACATTGATGGACTGTTTGCAAACAGCTCTACACACACCTCATTTGATTATGATGATGTAAGAGATTTGTATTATCTGCATTTTGTGAATGAGGACACTACCTTGCTAAAAGTTATGTGGCTTAATGAATGATTTGGGCAGGCCTTGAATAAAGGTGAGTTTAATTTCAAACCCTGTGCTTGTAAATAGTAGACTATGCTTTGTCTCAGGAAAAAAAACAGCACAGTACTTTGCAAGATTGATAGAAACCTTTGTAGTCGCAGAATTAAAAGCCAGAGCTCTTAGCTTTCACAAGAAGCTTACTATTTATGTTACATTTGCAACACATTCATGGTGCTTCAGTAAAGGAAAGAGCAAATTAGTATAAAAGTGATTGAACCTTGCTTTGATCTTTTTCTGGCTTTTAAAATTACTCCTATTTACTCTTTCCTTTTTTTTTTTTTTTTTCCTTCCCCCTCCTAGGAATATTCAAAAGCAAAGGACTGCATATTTTCAACCTGACTTCTTTAACCAAGTCTGAAAACATTTTGTCTGCCACATTGTATTTCTACATTGGCGAACTAATCAACATCAGCCTGAGTTGTCCGTCATCCCGAGGATGTACACATTACACTCAGAGGAGACACGTTCAGATTGATCTCTCTGCATGGATCCTCCAATCTGACAGAAACCAAAGTCGACTCCTAGGTCATCTTTCTGTAAATATAGTCAAATCTCATCGAGACATCACGACCTGGTTATCTAAAGACATCACTCAAGTCCTGAGGAAGGCTAAGGAAAATGAGGAGTTCCTTGTCGGATTTAACATTACCTCCAGGAGACACCAGCTGCCAAAGAGCGTCCCGCCCTTTCCTGAGCCTTATGTCTTGGTCTGTGCCAATGATGCTGCCATCTCTGAGCCAGAGAGTGTGGTATCAAGCTTACAGGGACACTGGAATTTCCCCATTGGGGCTTTGTCACCACTGGATAGCCACATCAGGGCTGCCCTTTCTATAGAACGGAGGAAGAAGCGCTCCACTGGGGTCCTGCTGCCCCTGCAGAACAATGAGCTTCCTGGGGCAGAGTATCAGTCTAAGGAGGATGGGATCTGGGAGGAGAGAAAGCCTTATAAGACCCTTCAGACTCAGCCCTCTGAGAAGAGTAAGACGAAAAAGAAACAGAGAAAGGGACCTCACCAGAAAAGCCAGACACTCCAGTTTGATGAGCAGACCCTGAAGAAGGCAAGAAGAAAGCAATGGATTGAACCTCGGAATTGTGCCAGGCGATATCTTAAAGTTGACTTTGCGGATATTGGCTGGAGTGAATGGATTATCTCTCCCAAGTCATTTGATGCTTATTATTGCTCTGGAGCATGCCAGTTTCCCATGCCAAAGGTATCAGTCATCCCTTTCCCTTGCTCGCTTCCTATTTCCATAGGCTAGAAAAATGCTGCCTAAGATATGTGTGTCTCTGTGTGTGTGTAAGTTTGTGTTTTCAATCTACAAAATCCATCTGTTCCCTTTTTTGCTGCATTCTACAGTGTAATAGGTAATATGGTTATGCTTGATTTTTTCTTTAATGGTTGTTAAAGTAATATGAAGTCAATACTGATATGAAGAAGGATATGAGGGAAAATGTATGTGGAAAATATGTTGTTGTTGTGGGTTTTTTTTTTTTTTTTCTTTTGCATTGCTTCCAACCATGGTGCACCTTCAGTGGTGTGGTCATGTGTGATTCCTTACCTACAGAAAGGAACAAACCCTGGATGGTAGAAGCCACCTTATGAGGAGATGTTCAGGGAAGGAGCGGACATCAGGGACACCTTAAAGAGCTAATTAGATGAATGCCATGATACAAAATATGTTACAATAGATAGCTTCCTGTAAGATAAGCTGTCCTCAGGGAGGTCAGGATCAGAGGAGGCCAGGTAAACTGGCCTCATGAATACCCTGTCGGATGCTGATTTAGTTTGTTTTCCTGATAAGCATGTAAAAGGAAAGCAAAATAGAGTATGATAAACTTCTTCCAAGATCTGTTTCAACCTGTCAGAGCTTGCCTGTGTCTCTTCCAAAATCAATAGGGACTATCCCTTATCATTTCTGTCCTTGGTATCCTGACAACTATGTTTTCAGCACCCTCCCGGGCCCCTTTATCTTGCACAGCTAGTTCAAGTATCTGTTCTTTTTGAATTTACAGTTTGTAAAATGGAATGGTGCCCTCTGGCCTTCAGTTAATCTTATAGCTGCACTTCCATTCTCATCTTGTAACAGTTTGAACCTTTACTATACAATGAAAAGTGGCTCTAGGAACGGTATTCACAGGAAGAATGGAGATTTTGTGCAAAACTTGAAGTTCATCAGTTTTTCCTCCTGTATAATAACGGAAGAGGAAAAAAAAATCCTTTGCCCCAGTGGGTGACAAACTTTCACTTATGGGTCTTTAAAATAGCATTTTCATGGCTTAGCATTATGATCATTGAAATGTTAAATGTAACACATAGAGAAGGGCCAGCTTCACAAGGCCGGGTCAGCCATGGGCCAGGAACTTGATTGATATCCCATTTTCTTGTTAAATTGTTTCAGATGGATGAACTTTCTACATTTTTAAAGGACTTTTGCCAATTTCATGTTTTGTAAAGTCAAACACAAAGCAAATATTATATGCACTTGCAATTTTATAGGAGTCCTTGTGTGGTGCAAATGGTTAACATGCTCAGCTGCTAACAAAAAAGGTTAGCAGTTTGTGTCTACATAGAAGAATTTTGGAAGAAAGGTATGGAGACCAGCCATTTGAAAACCCGTTGAAAACTCAGCACAGTTCTACGCGCACACACACGGGGTCATCGTGAGTTGGCATAGACTTATGGCAAGTGGAAAGAGGACAGTTATATAAGGGTCATTTCACTGAGCAGACAAGATTTCCTCAAGCTGGGCTAAAATTTAAAAATGTACACACAAGGAAGATGCTAAATGTAATAGGCAGTGATATATCTGTACTTTACAGTGTGGCTTGTCTTTATGACATGGAGAGGCAGGAATGGATTGAAAATCTGTCTCTAACCCATGATGACTGATTTTTAAGTGGAACTCCTGAGTTTTCCAAATAATCTCTTTTATTCTCATAAACAGTAATTTCTTCCCCACTGCCTTCCCTAGGCTTTTCTTTCCCTTCTTGACTCCAGTTTTCAGGCTCAGGGAGCCATGATAACCTGAAGATGCTCAGTTTGCTTTTCAACTCTGAACTCTGTAGAGCTAGCCTAATCTCTGCCCTTCCACAATTATCCCTGTCTTCCCAATTTACCCTTCCAACTCCTGTTGGTTCTACCTACTTTTACTGTTCAAAAATCTTTCTGTGCTTCAGTAGAATGTCACCATGGTTCTCAGTTGTCTAAAGAAAAATAATAAGTTGACACTGATGAGGTATAAGTAAAGAATGTCAGAGGTAGTTTTAATGAGAACAGTATGTTATTGCATAATGATTAAGTGTCATAGCAGGACTTCTTAATTTTTTTTCAAAAATATACTTCATCTTTACTCCAACTTTTTTTTTTTTCCACACATTTCATTGTGTTTTAGGTGAAAATTTTACATAGCACACTAGTTTTCTAATCAATAATTCACACACAAATCGTTCTGTGACATTGGTTGTAATCCCCATAATTCATACAGTTTCCCTACCCCTTCCTGCTTTCTTATCTTTGGTTTTGGGCAAATGTTGCCCATTTGGTCTTGTACAGATAATTGTTGTAAGTAACACATTCTTGCCAGATATTGCTGTTTATTTTATAGGCCTGTCTATTAATTGGATGAAAGGTGACCTCCAAGAGCATCTTCAGTTTCAAGTTAGAAGATTATTTTAGGGCAATAGTTTTAGAAAGGTCTAAACCAGTCTCTTTCAGATTTTCAGAAATCTGATATTTTTAATTATTATTTGAATTTTATTCTACATCTTTTACCCATTCTAATCGGGCCCTTCTATTGTGATCCTGGTCAGTCAGAATGGTCACTAGTGGTAGCTGGGCACCATTAAGTTCTTCTGGTCTCAGCTTAGAGGAGATTGTGCTTCATTTGGGCAATTAGTTTTGTGGACTAATTGCTTCTTTGAGTCTTTGGTTTTCTTCATTCTTCTTTGCTCCAGGTAGGAAGAGACCAATAGTTGTTTCTTAGATAGCTACTTGTGAGTTTTTAAGACTCTAGATCAGACTCACCATATTAAAATGTAGAATATTATATTTATGAACTGTACTTTGTCATATGACCTAGATGTCCCCTGAGATTATGGTCCTTAGCCTTCAAGTTCACTAGTTCAGTCCTGATGAATAAGTAGTTTCTACAAATGTGCCCCTTATGGTGTTCATTATATGTATGAGTATACATGTGGCATTTATAAATTTGCATGTAGAAATATCCACAACCATGGCTAAATATGTATGTGGGTATTGTTGTTGTTGTTATTTGCCGTCGAGTAGGCCCCGACTCATAGCGACCCCTCCTTGGGTTTCCGAGGCAGTATCACTATGGAAGTAGGATTGCCCAACCTTCCTTCCAAGGAGTGGCTGGTGGGTTTGAACTGCCAGCCTTCTGGTGAGCAGTCAAGTGCCTTAGGCACTATGCTACCAGAGCTCCTTATGTGGGTATACTCCTGTATAATTTCCCTAACCTATTTAACATATATATTTAACAAACTATTGTTTGTTATTATTATTGTTTCAGGATTGTGTATGTTATAGCATTTACCAGTTGTCCTTTATTCTTGCACACCTCTCAGTGTCTTCCTTTGCCATGGCAACACTGTTACCACTTGCCTTATATTGTGCATTGCCTTTCCCTTACCTAATTAACACTTGTATTGTATCTATTTAGTGCCCCCCTCATCTCTGATAACCATCAAAGAATGTTTCTTTCTATGTCTAAACTTATTCTTGACTTCTTATGATAGTGATCTCATTTAATATCTGCCCTTTTGTGATTGACTTATTTCACTTAGCATATTGCCCTCCAAATTCATCCATGTTGTGAGATGTTTCATAGATTCATCATTATTATTTATCATTGGCTAGTATTCGGTTGTATGGAGGTATCACAGTTTGTTTATCCATTCATCAGTTGATGGACATTTCAGTTGTTTCTATCTTTTTGCTATTATGAATAATGCTGTGATGAACATGGGTGTGCATATGTCTGTCTATTCGTGTCACAGCCCTTATTTCTCTAGGATATATATACCTAAGAGTAGGATTGCTTGTGGTATTTCTATTTCTAGCTTTTTAAGGAAGCCCCATTCTGTTTTCTATACTGATTATATCATTCTACAGTCCCACTAGCAGTGAGTACTAAACACACCACATCCTTGTTAGCATTTGTTGTTCTCTGTTTTTTTTGATCAGTGCCATTATTGCCTGCTGAGAATGATATCTCATTGTAGTTTTGATTTGCATCTCTCTAATGGCTAATGAGCACGAGAATCTTTTCATCTGTTTGTTAGTTGGCTGGATGTCTTTGGTGAACTACATGTTTATATCCTTTGCCCATTTTTAAATTAAATTATCTTTTTATGATTCAGGTGTTGCAGATTTCTATAAATTTTAGAGATTAGGGTCTTGTCAAATATATTGTTACCAAAAATCTTTTCGTTGTTTGTAGGTTCTTATTTATTTATTTATTTTGGTGAACTCGTTCAATGAGCATAAGTATTTGATTTTTCGGAGGTCCCATTTACCTAGTTTATATTCTCTTCTTTGTGAATTTTTAGTTATGTTGATAGTCTATTTATGCCATTACTTAGGGGCCCTAGGTTTGTTCCTGTATTTTCTTCCATGAACAGTTAGAGCTTCGATCCATTTTGACTTAGTTTTTGTATATACGAGGTGTGGATCATGTTTCATTGTTCTGCAAATGGATGTCCAGTTTTGTGGGTACCATCTATGAAAGAGACTGTCTTCCTCATTTAATGGGCTTCAACCTGTTGTTGAAGATCAGCTGTCCATAGGTGGATGGATTTACTTTTGGATTCTCAATTCTGTTCCATCCATCTATGTGTCAGTCATTATACCAGTACCAAGCTGTTTTGATTAGCATGGTTATATTGTCGCTTCTAAGGTCCAGAAGTGTGAGACCTCCTACTTTGTTCTTCTTCTTCAATAATGTTTTACTTATCTGAGACCTCTTTCTTTTCCATATGAAGTTGTTGGTTAGTTTTTCATTTAGTTAAAAATGTTGGAATTTTGATTGGGATTGCATTGTATCTATGGATTGCTTTGTGTAGTATTGACATTTTCGCAATATTAAGTCATCCTATCCTTGACTGTGGTATATTTTTCTATTTATGTAGGTCTCTTTTGGTTTCTTGTAGCAGCAGTGCTTTGTAGTTTTCTTTGTATAAGTCTTTATGTGCC